CATAGAATTGACTATGTGATTTACTTATTTGTGGAATTAGGATAGAATGAGAGATTGAGTTGAATTTGTTGAAATGAAGGCATAATTATTTTTACTTAATTGAATATTATAAGTATTTAATGTAATCTGAGAAATGGCACAATGATTGGTTTCTAGGTTTTGAGGAATTAAATTTGACAAAAGTATATATATTGTTTTATCTCTTGGATCATTGTGGTAAGTTATGTGTGCAATTGCTTGAGGACAAGTAATGATTTAAGTGTGGGGGAATTTGATAAGTGAATATTTAACGTACATTTTGTACAAATTTGGCATGAACTTTTGGTATGTTTTGAGGAGATTAAAGCCATATTTGAACTCTTTTGGTGATAATTGCTTAAATATTGTTTAAGTGTTCAAAACTTGATAAATGAGTGGATTAATTCGTTAATTTTGTGAAATTGTGAAGGATATCGATGTATGAAATTCATGCACAAGCTGAAAGAAGTATAAGGATTGTCCAGAGGATAAACTACACAAGAAATTAGGAGCAAAAGTGAAGAAAAAGGAAAAGAAATGAAAAACTGGAAAATACCAGCACGGATCCGAGCTTGGATCTGTGAGAATAAGGGGAGATCCGAGCTCTCATCTGTACTTCTGGAGGAGCGTATCCGAGGTCAGAACGATCCGACCTCGGATCCATTCTGACCTCGGATCCATCATGGGAAGTCCTCGGATCCACTGATCCGAGCTCGGATCAATATTCAACCCTCGGATCTGAGGCTCAGATCTGTCTCTCTCCTCAGCAAGTTACACAGCCGTTTTTCTTTACCTTTCTTACCACTTTTCCAGCTATTTTGAGGGACAGAAATCGGTGGCACATGCTTCTGCAACAAAAGAGAAGACCAAATGAGTGTAGACAAAAGGAAACATCATATCTTTGACTTCTTTTTACAAAATCTGAGTGGAGGAAATTATGAAGAGAGAAGAGTAGACTTTCTACCACTTTTTATGCAGAAACATAGGAGAGAGGTGAAGAGATGACCATACGTAGCTAGTTTTCCTTCTTGTAACATTTTTCTCTCTAGCTAAGAGTTCTTGGAGAAGTATTTGGAATTTTCACTTGTAATCATATTGTGCAAGAGCATAGCAGGAATTGGAGAGCTTCACCTTCAATTGGCTAAGCTTTCTTTTATCTTTCTTGTACTTGTACTTGATGATGTTTTTTATTAATAAACTTGTGAGTTTGATTGTTAAATCATTCATGAGTAGCTAATTTTCTTTATCTAGGGAGTAGATGAAACTTATGGCTAAATAATATGAATTGAATGTGATTTACACTTGTTATATCTTGTATTAACTTGTCTACTTGTGTAGCTGTGATTACTTGTTATTGATTGATCACCAATAGCATGTTTATAGTTGTTATTATGCAATGAAAATTGGTAATAACAATGGAAACACGTGAGTAGAGCTTGAGTTGTATGTTCATGAAAATAGAGATACACTTAGGTGGATTATTTAGCATTTCATGAAATAAAACAGAGTAGTAGTAGTATTTCACCATGAAAATAGGGAAAACTATATTGCTCTAGGCCATTTCATCATGAAAATGAGACTTGGTAATTTTAGAAATGAATCTCTGGTTAAACAAGAATAATAACAAGAAGTAAATCCATTCATTTGTGTTGTTTATGCCATAAGTGGAATCTACATCCCTAGATTCTTTCTTGAGTGAAATTTCTCCATTTGCATTTAGCATTTGTTAAAATAGAATTGCAGATCAGATTTGTAGACATTTGCATTACATTTCTTTGCTCAAATTCATTCAATAGTTTAAATAATAGAGAAAATAAGGACCTAGTAATTGGTTAATTTGCTCCTCGTGGGATCGACCCGATACACACCTTGTACTACAATTGTGACCTGTATACTTGCAGTCCAACGGGTGTAAAATCGGATTTAAACTTGCATTGATATAAAAAACCCGTCATATTTATTATTTAGACTATTACAAATGCAATCTATGCTACAAATATGAAATAAAAGTAATAAAAGTAACAATAAAGAGCTCCTAGAGGTAGGGAATTCCTTACTATTGCAAGTGAAGTTACCGGCTAGTTATGGCATAATTTCCTAATGTATGTGAAATCTACTCTCGTAGTGAATCAACTATACTTGTAACTAAGCCATACCTATTCTCGTGGTTATGAAATTAATTACAAGTTCATTTCTTCTATGAAATTACATGAAACAAGTCACTAAAATCACATAGGTGCACCTCTACTCTCTTGAGTGTACTCCCTAGGTTTATTACTTTATTGGAGTAGTGTAAAATCCCAATTCTCATTGCAAATTTAACACTTTAAGATTATTACAATTAATGGCTGGTTAATCATGATTAGATAAGCAAAAGTGATAAATAACTTACTCAAAATAACATAATTAAATAACCAAGTAAACATCACTAGCGAGATATAGCAAGTTCATCCATAACTCTAGGTATAAACTTTAACTAAAAATGATAAAAACACAAATCCAAACTTGTATTACAGTTAAACATGAAATCAAATACAAGAAAGAAAGTAGTAGAAGAGATATCACCCTTGTCACATGAGATCAATCTCTCCATCTTGCTCCTTAATCTTCATCCAAATCCAACTATAAATACAAGAGGAATAAACTACTCTAACTATACTAATCTACTCTAACTAATGAAATAAGGAAATTCTAATGAAGATTACATTTTTTGTGGAGTTTCTATAGCTTTCCAAAGTTATGAAAATGGTCTCCAAAGGCTGCTATTTATAGATGATTCAAGATCAAGGTGAGCTGTTTCTTGATTGGAAAAGTTGGCTTTTGAACTCATCAAGAGTTGTTTTCCAAGTTCCACACTTTTCTTGGTCAGATACAGCTGAATTTGCTTGCTGGAATTGAGCTGGAAAGTTGTGTGAACAAAGAAAAAGTTGCAGAGCAAGTTGCAGCAGAAAAACTAGAATACACGACCTCGAATGTATGACCTTAGGTCGCATATTGCACCCCACGTTTTCTCCTTTGCAGGTTTGCACTTTCTGGGCAGAATTCATCCATGCTCTGTTTTTATTCCTATTTCAACTGATCTTTTGTTGATGATAGAAGCTGAACTAGCTCTTATGAAAACTTAAAAGTTGTAGCTCTTTGAGTTACTTTCCAATGCATGAAGAATCATCTAACGTGGAGCTCTGTGGACCAAAAAATGACCAAAAAATGACCAAAATACCCTCGACTATTAAGAACTCTGTTTTAGCTTTCGACAATGAAATTGCACTTCTGTATTTTGACTTTTTGACAATGAAAACAACTGAACTGGACTTCGATGTTTCATACCAAATGTAGATCTATCTCTTATTTCAAAATGGTTTAAGAATCACATCAATCCAATACTTGTAGCTCAATATATAGTCGAAATATCACAAGCTGTCAAAGTTGGAAAACTTCCTTTCTTTTGTTCTCTCTTGCATTTCATCTTTACACTTCATGTCTTCTTTAAACTACTTCAAATCATCAATAATCATCCAAAAATGTTCTCAACTCACTGCATTTGATGATTGAATCATTAAACCAATAAAAACATGAAGTTTTCACCATTAAAATCCATAAAAATACAATTTTTACACTTTAAACCATAAAATGCATATTTTCACTAGAAACTTAGTTGATTAACTATAAAAGTAGTTAAAATACACCAAAACTAGATAATAAAACACACTAAAAATATATAAAATATGCACATATCAAAAGTCCGACACAATCCATTTCTTCTTGAGTTGCGAACTAGCAAACAGCTACTCTGGCGTGTCCATATCTTACTGATTCCAAGTCTTCTAGTCACTATTTACAATTCCTCTTGAATGGAACGCGAATCAGCATGTTGAGGCTCGCTTGTGTATCATCAATTCCTTCAATTGGTTTTTGAGACCTAACTTGGTCTTAAATAGCGCGTACCAATGTTTGAAGCGAACCTTTGACCTTCGCATGAGCCCTTCATAATTGAACTAATTGGAACATTCACTTCTTGGTCAACACTCAAACCTAGAATCACATGTAGAAGTAGGTTTAACTCATATTGAGCAATTGGTATTATCTAGTGGTACGTACCTTTTGAATTTTGCCAAGTCTTGTAATTAACTTAACACGTGTGAAAAAATGGACAAGGATGTGGAACACCATTTTACACATTCACGATTAGGATAGTGTGGAAATATTCTCAAAGGTCATTTAATTAGCTTGGGCCTACAAATATCCATTTCCTCAATCTTCAATCATCAATCAATGAAACGTATAGTTCAGCCAACACTCTCTATAGATACATCAATTCAAAATGGTATATAGCTATAACACCACAAGTATGTGTATATATCTTTTATATTGTCTGTAGGTACGTGTCCTACCATATATCAAGCACCTAAGCATTTTAGCTATAATGAAATCCAGAGACAGTGTTGCACAAAAAAGAAAAAAAATTTTCAAAAATTGAAATTGGAGAGGAAAGTCCAATTTACATTTTTTCCTTAGCATTGACAATATGATATTATTCTCTTCTTGATTGCTTGAATGATTTTGTGTTGAATCTCATGATCTCAACTTCATTGAATTTCTAACAGAAGTGTAGGGATAAATATTAATTGTACGTAAATCGATGAAATCTGTTGTCGCATTTTTTTAGATAACAGACCGTTCTTTGCTCATACCTATGCATTCTAAACTTGATTAGCATGTGGTAGGATACGCATTGTTCCGAAATGACCGAAAGAATGGTCGTAGAAAGTAGAAGCTCTCATCTTTGAACTTTTCGAGCAACACATCTTTCTCTTGATATAGCAACTAATCTTTCATTTCCTTTTCAGGTTTGGATTCATTTTAAATAAGACTTGACTAGTTATCAAACTTCATAACTAGTCATGAATATAGTACCTAGTTGACATACAAAACTCAGTGATTGGAATCCGCTTGCAAGCAACAGAGAAACAAAATATACAGATACAAATTCAAACACAGACTGCTGTTTTTATTTATTTAATGGTGCATTTTTGTTCTCATAAGTGCACCTTTGACATACTAAAACAAGGATACAAACACAAATGCAGACGGCATTTTTTATTTAATGGTGCATTTTTGCTGGTACAGCTGCACCTTACATGCTAGTACAACAGTGGGGAGATGTATGCGTGCCAGCAGTACATCATCCATGCATAAATTGAAAACCACACCAAAGACAGTGATAGATAATTAAAGTACTTCAAGACGTTGATAGTCAGTTGATCAACGGCAGTGTTTGATTATTTCTTGTGCCAGATGAGTGTCAAGACTCCATCTGGGGTCTCAAAAACAAGTGCTTTGTGCAGATATGTGGCGCCCTCATAATCCTGGTTTTCAATGATAAGTGCGTAGTAATTGCCTCCAATGACGCTCCACGTGAATCCGCCAACCACGGCGACGAAAAGCAGCTTGCCGTGGTGAGCTTGTTCCACTACAAATTGTCCGATCTGGATCACGTGAGGGTCAGCCGGCTTCACTGGTTCTAGTGAACTGATGTCGGTCTGTAAATCCCAAACATTTTTTCCAGTAAGAAAACGAAAAACAATTGAGTTCCCAAAATCAATTAGAATCCTTCAAATAAACAAACGACCAGAAATTAAATCCAACCAATTAATAAGAAACTACATCACTCGGAAGACAGTTAATGAAACAATGCAAGGGACCGCCTACCCACAGATGCATGTAGACAGCTGGAAATATAAAAAATTGCTTAAGACAATTCAAGAATGTTGGAAATTGCTTTAATTTGCAACTCCTTATACTTTTCCAAACGTTTCTATACAAGTTGTTTATGTGTTGATTGCCAAAACCACACACAAACTTGGAAAAGAATACAATCACTATTCACCTGTCCAGTGCCAATAGCAGATTTGGCTGCAGCCATTTTCTCCTTAGATATTGTAATTGGTTGTGACTCTCGAAAACTTGGTAGCTGAGTTTAGCACATTGAAATAACAAACCAGACTCCTTGTATTTATAGGCCTAAAAATGAGGTAATTACCCCATAAATTAGTTTGTCTTGTTGGACCTAATCACCAAAATCAGGGTCCACCAGCATGGAACACGTTTTTACACGTCCATGATGAGGTCAGTGTGGAAATATACTAATTACGGTTGCTAGGCCTATAATTTTATGTTACCGTTTTGTCATCACTCGACTGGTCCAATGACTAAGAGCTTCCTCCTCTGTAAGGCTCAAAGTTTGAATCACAAGACTGATGGTTGGGGATGGGAAGAGATGTGGAGAGGAGATGGAGGGTTAAAAAAAAACCTTAGGCTTAAATCTGATAATTCTAGTTGAGTAATAGGTTATATTTTTGGTATTTCTTTCAAGATTTGATGTATTTCTTAATGAGTTGATGTAAAAGAAGACATTGACAATTACACGAATAGATACATAGACTCTTGAAAGAACTATTGGAACCAACGCAAAAATAAAAGACCAGACAAATATACCCGCAATTTATAACTGCATTTTGTGTTTTAGAGTTTTTCCTATTCACTGTATGAACTAACCGATTCAACTCTCAAAGATTCGAGTCTCGACCTAAATTAGTTTAACTATTCAAGAAAGTCCTTGGAAATGCATCTAATGTCATTGGGGTGGATGACTAATGATAGACGATGCTGACGAGATTCTACCATGTATCAAATTTTAATAAAACCTAAACATCTCATTTTCTGTGAGTATGCATATAGTTTATCGAGTACAAGAATATTAGGTGTCGATCTCACAGGAACATTGTCAATTACCTGTGATTTTCGAACTCCTTTATTATTTCGACTATCACAAGTGTAAAAAATTATATCTACATTACGAATATGAAATAAAAGTAATACAAATAATAATAGAAAGTCAACAAAGGTATGGAATTCCTCACTAGTCTTGCAAGTGAAATCACCGGTTAATTGAATGTTATTATCTTGACTAGTTATAATGGAATTTTTTCATGTATGTGAAACCTACTCTCGTAGTGAATCTATTATACTTATAACTAAACCATATCTACTCTTGTGGTTATAAAATTAACTACAAACTCATTCTTTCTATAATATTTTATGAAACAAATTACTAAAATCACAAAAGTGCATTTCTACTATCGTGAGTGTACTTCCTAAGTTTAACACTTTTCTGAACTACTGTCAAATCTCAATTCTCATCACAAACTTAACACCTTAAAATTATCACAATTAATGACCAGTTAATCATGATTAGATAAGTAAAAGTGATAAATAACTTGTTCAAAATACTATCACCAAATAACCAAGTAAATTCACTAACAAGATATAGAAAGTTCATCCATAACTTTAGGTATAAATTTTAGTAAAACCTAATAAAATCCAAACTTGTATTATAACTAAACATGAAATCAAATACAAAAGAGAAAGTGATAGGAAAGAGGTCACCCTTGTTACCAATGTTTTTAAACTCGGACCGGTCAGTGAACTGGAGAGGTTGCCGGTTCGCGGTTCGATCGGTCCGACCGGTCCAACCGGCCGGTTCATAGGTTCACTGTTTTTTTTTTTTTTTTTTTTAAGTACTAAGCAGGTTTCATTCTACACTTGAACTTTGCCAACATAACTTAATTTAAGTTATGATAATAATAAATTTAGTAAAAGTTATACATAAAACATGGAATGATAAATATAATTAAAATATCATAATTCACCACAAGTTTTCATAAATTCATTATAAACATAAATAGATACAATCCAAATGTTCACCAATTATCACAAATAAAAACAAAAAAAATAAATAAATTAAATATTGAAATTCTTTTACAACCCTTAAAAAAATCCATAAAAGAGTTCAAGTTAAGACAAACCATTTGAATAGCAAACTTTTATGAGTGGCATGATAAGCAACCACACCACCTTCACAATTTAATCAACTTAAGCTGAAAAAGTTAAAATTTTATTATAAAAATATAAATCTAATTGCTCAAACTAAAAAAAAAACTAAAAATTTTTGAAAAACAAATATACAGTTAAACACATAAAAAATTAATTGCTACTAAACATTACTAATTAACATGTTATATTAAATTCAATGATCCTATACCATTAATTATTTTAAATTCAATTATCAATAGCTTCGATTATGTGCCAACTACCATATTTTTTACCAACCCAATGTTATTATTTGTAATTCCTACCCAATTCCTACATGGATGTGCACTACTTTTGCAAAAATTTCATCCTTAATTAATCAAATAAAAATAAAACAAAAAATGAGGGAAACATATGAAAATTGAGGGGAAAAAGAAGAAAATGCAAAAAAATCAACTAAAGATAATAATATAGAAAAAAAAAGCCTTGAAAAGAAAAAAATTAAACTTACCAAGATGTTGGAAAACAAGAAAAGTTGAAATTTTCAACTTGTTTACAATCTGTTAAAGATAATGACCTGATAATAATGGTGAAGACTTGAGAAAATCTTGTTGTGGATATTTGGGTTAAAAATGGTTAAGAAGAAAAAATTGAAAAAAAAAATAAGAGAAGAACTTGATGTTTTAATATATTTTTTAGTCAAGTAGAATTCTCAACAAACTTAACTACAGTCTAGCAGTAAGATTGTCATATGCAAACTGGGAGACCCAGATTCGAATCATGGCTACACCATTCTTGGTATTTTGTTGAAAAATTTAAAAAACCGCCGGTTCATGGTTCTTAACGGTTCACACGGTTCGTCCGGGTTTCAACGGTTCTCCATGAACTTCCGGCTTTAGCATTAGACCGGACCGGTGACATGGCCGGTTCGCGGTCCAACCGGTCGAACCTGCCGGTCCGGTCCGGTTCTGAAAACACTGCTTGTCACATGAGCTCCAACTCTCCATCTTTACTCCTCAATTCTTCATGCAAATCTAGCTACAAGTACAAGACGGATAAATTATACTAACTATACCATACTAATAAACTAAAAAAAAAAAAACTACCGAAGACTATATTTTAGTACTGTTTCTAGCTTTCCAAAGTTATGAAACAAGCTCAACAAAGTCCTTATTTATAAAGGAATTAAAAGTCCACGTGAGTTGTTTTTAGTTGGCAATTTTATCTCTTAAAATCAACAAAAGTTGTTTCTTGAAGCCTCTACACTTTTCTTTACGGCTGCAGCCGAAATTCTGAGTTGAAGAATTAGGATTGTGCAAAATCGAAAAATAATGATTTATCGACCGAATTCGAATTTAATTCGAAATTTTCAAAATCGGTAATTCGAAATTTGGAATGGAAATCGGTTTTTCCTATTTCAAATTATGCGAAATCAGTTCAAATTCGATAATGAAATTTTTGAAATCAAAATTTTCGATTTCAAATTCACAATTCGAAATCAGGAATCGAAATCGGTATTCAATTTCAAATTTGTTTTATAATATTTATATATAATATATTATTTTTTTATAATATACATTATATAAAATTTATATTATATAACATTATAACAATACATCTAACAAAACAAAACTCAAAAAAGGACAAAAATAGCTATTCTGTTTCTAATCCAATATTTTATGCAAATATCACTTTTATTGATGCTCAAAAAGTTATGGAAGAGGCAAGACTATTGTGACATGATCATGGTTGCAGTTTAGTATAGTCATAAATACATGGAAGATCAGGTAATCTTATAGTAGTAATTCAGAAATCTGAGTATTAAATCATACAGTGCATTTGGTGTTATCCAGTGTCATGGTCGGAGCTACTACCATGATGAACTTGAATTTTGCGCCATCTTATAATTATTTTAATACGTGTGAAAATTTGACAAGGACCAATGTGGAACACGTTTTTACACATCGGTGATTTGGTCACTACAAGAAATTCGACCTTTTGTGACAATAGAAAGTTATCACTAAAAATTAGAAAGTCATCATTATATGAATATAATGACGACTTTTTCCATTGTCACATTATTGTCACCAATTCTATGTCACAAATGAATATGTGTGACAACCTTTACAAAGTCGTCACTAAATATTATTATTTAATGACGAAGACTAAGTCGTCACTAAAAAATAGTATTCTGTGACGAAGTATCTTATCACTGTTTCCAAAATTTTTTTGTCATAAAAAATAGCAGAAGTCATCACAAATTTGAACGTGCACAGTGACGACTTGAACTTGTCACTCTCATTCCTAGTATTCTGTGACAAGAATAGTCGTCACTTAGTGAACTTACAACTTTGTGTACAAGAGCTGCATTTCTATTGCATTTTCAACAACCATAGCAGAAAATTGTGGCTCGACTAATGCAAAAAACGATAGTAATTAATGTACAATGAACCCTCAAATATATATATATATATATATATATATATATATATGGTTATAAACATCTCTAAATTCATCAAAACACACATTAACCAAAATGGGTTCCAAAGCCCACATTAGTTCAAGTACTAACAGCCATTATCCATCCAAACAATAGAGTACTAAATTCACATCAGTTCAACTAGTAACAGCCATTACGCATCCAAAAAAACAAAGTACTCTTTCCAAACAAAAACATAGACTAAAGCAGCAATTTGTGTCAAACTGAAGTCATCTTCATGAGCATATCCAAAAGCCAACCTTTTTCATCTCCTCAAGAGCATTTAATAGCATTGTACTGCATTGAAAGAAAAGTATCATATGCATTAGAATCGATTTCAGTCAAAAAAATGCCATTACAAGCATACACTATTGAATTTGAATGAATAGTCATACTGAACAAAAATCCAATTAAGTCAAATATGATAAGCTCCCACCAACATCACGTACAATGTCACACCATAGGACCATACATCCGCAATCTAGAAAATAGACAGCAATTACAAAATGAATGAAGACCTTCTTGAGACAAAACTATTTAATGAGCAGAAACTAGGCAGCAGTGCATGCCTGTTAAGCAGGAAGAAATGAACTGAACAAGCATAACCACTAGCACAAAGTTTACAAGATACTTGAGACAAGGGCCATATTGCTGATTTAGAAGAA